ACTTACTGCACATAAGTACATACTATACGCAGCACAACCTACATTCTTTTACAACTAAATGTACAAAACTTCAAATATCAACTGCACATACAACTGTTTCAAAGAACTCAAAAGTAGCCTTTTGAGTGCACGCATATACACCACACTACAGTACTTTGTGTACATGCACAAACAATACACTACAGTACTTGTGTAAATGCACATAAAACACACTACAGTACTTTGTGTGCATGAATTTTCAACACACTGTAGTAATCTGTGTACAGGCACATACGCTACAGTACTTTGTGTACATGCACATACAATACTTTGTGTACATGCACATACAACACACTACAGTAATTTACACACATGCGCAAACTAAAACTAGTATGTAGCATACAACTCACCTAACAGTATAAAAAAAATTTAAACATGCAACCAAGTCAAGTGTGGAAACTATTATACATAAATATATACACAAGCTTTTCCCTGTGGCAACACACAGATGTGAGTCATGGACTATATCTCCCAGTCCTTAAGAAAGAGAATAGGGGCTTTTGAGCTGAAATGCTATAGAAAGATTCTCAGAATATCTTGGACAAAGAAAAGGAGAAATACTGACATCTTGAAAGATCTGAACATCAAGGAAGATTGGCTAATAAACAGCATCCTGTCTCGGAAGCTGAAATATTTTGGTCATATCAAGCGCCACGACGAACTTGAAAAAACAATAGCAGAAGACATGGTACCAGGAAGGAAGGGCAGGGGCTGACCAACATGAAGATATGCACAGGATATAAGTGACTCCTTGAGTGTGAAAGTACATGAGGCGGGAGAGACCCAGTTTCTTTCAGGCAGACTGTGACGAGAGTGACGTTCTGCAAAGGACGTGCTACATGGTGATTATGATATACACAAGCAAGCACACATAGACAGACAAACACACACATTTACAAAAAATGTGTAAAAACACTTAAATAATAGGAATATGTTTTCTAGCGACAGCAATTGTCTTTCCTCTTCACACACCTTTGGATGACAACCCAAATATATTTAGCTGGAGCTTGCTGAGATCTCCCTAATCCGTCTACAAAGGTTTTACAAATATGACTTATTTGTATGCAGATTGTTGGTTCCTTGCCTCAGGCAGATCCACTTTGAATTCGAAGGACCTCCCCCCTCCCCCCCACTAGCCTACTCTTATAACATGCTTGTCCGGGAGGCACCACACACCCACACAACCAAGCCTGATCAAGTGAATATCAAATGGTACACCACTAGCTTATAGAACCTCATAACGAATCTTGCTCAAATACAACAGTTAATATCAAATGATACAACTCTAGCTAAAAAAACCACACAACCAATCTTGCTCAAGAACAGCAGTTAATATCAAATAATACAACTCTAGCTAACAGAACCAACTACACAACCAACCTTGCTCAAATACAACAGTTAATATCAAATGATACAACTCTGGCTAATAGAACCATACAACCTATCTTGCTCAAATACAACAGTTAATTTCCAATGATACAACTCTGGCTAATAGAACCACACAACCAATCTTGCTCTTAACTGCATCAGTTAATATCAAATGATTCAACTCTAGCTAAAAGAACCACACAACCAATCTTGCTCGAACACAACAGTTAATATCAAATGATACAACTCTGGCTAATAGAACCACACAACTAATCTTGCTCAAATACAACAGTTAATATCAAATGATACAACTCTGGCTAATAGAACCACACAAACAATCTTGCTCAAATACAAAGGTTAATATCAAATGATACAACTCTATATAATACAACCGCACAACCAATCTTGCTCAAATAAAACACTCAATATCAAATGATACAACTCTAGCTAACAGAATCACACAATCTACTTTTATCATTTCTAGCACAGCTGCTAATTATCAAATGATGCGACTCACATACCTTCTTGATACTAATGTACAAAGTATTAAAATCTACGCATTAAGAAAAAACATATAAATATATACAGGTGCCTAGTCACTCAAATACTCCCATTAATCCCTGACCTAAATTTAGGTGAGCTGGATGCACTGCGGTCAAGCCTTGGCCTAGTAGAAGTCCTTGACCGAAGTTGGAGGCCATTGGATGTGAGCTGGCCAGAGATGAGGGAATTTGTTTTGGCAGATATGTGTTCATTACCAACTTTAAGTTTTAGCTGAGGAGTTGCCAGATTTGAAGTCTGCCCCAGTTCTGAAGACAGGCTGTGATATCCTTTCTTGGCATTTTGTTTGCCAGTTTGTAGACTTCTGGTAAATTCGGAGTCATGCTGCTGTGCCGGGGGGTCGGCGTCGGCACTGAGCCGGACATTTCGAGACACTCTGATAGGAGAGTCTGCATCATGAAAATGCTGAAATATGAAGTATGTGAGAATTTAACATTCAGCTTTTCTCTATCTAGCAAAGATCAGTGACATAAGTCAGATGGAGTAAAGTTATTTAACACTGGATCTCAACTATTCGTTGATGACAGAAACTGTTAACTAAGATGGCTTACAGTCCAGTTTAGTTTGGGTCAACACGGATGCCAAGGTCATTTAACAACCGTCCCTTTGGAGAGGGAGAGATGACGGGTGTGGGTTTTTATTTCGCTATTTGTGAGTATAGTGTAGTTTTTTTTTTTTAATCACTGCATATTACTGTTGGTTCCATCACTGGTTAGGTGATGACGTTTTTTTTCTTTTTCTTTGTTGGGGGCACAATTACACTAAACAGTCGGTGGCGACAGCATGCAGCGCTAACTCCTCTGGCTACACCAACCTGCACAGACAGTTGTTGTGAAGGTGGTGGTGGCAGTACTGACCACTTTTACTTTTCAGTACAGATTAATGCTACCCCTTTTAGTCTGGGTGGACATGGATGCCAAGCTCAGTTTAATTACAATATTTCGTCAGGCGATGACTTTCCTATCCTTTGGAGAGGATGATATTATTGGGGGGTGGGGGGAGGAGGGGTGTTAGCTAAGAGAGCTTCAAACTTTATTTGAAACTTCTCATTTCTTAAATATTCATATTTTAATAATACTGCTTCCTCTGCTATTCTAATTTTTTGTGGCCAGTTTGTTGGTCATTTAGAAAAATAGTAGTCAGCTTTACTTTTAGCTGTATAAGCACAACAGATGCTTTAGCATGCAATAAATAAATAATAATTTTTTTTTTCACTCTAACAATACACTTTAATCGACCACTAATATAAACATTTACTGATATGTTGCGTGTTCTAGAGTCGGCATATCAGACTATCTCTGTGTCTGAGCAATGACTGATATTAACCATATTAGACACAGGCGCTTTCTATTTTCTTTCTTTTCCAGTTCACCATTCTGGGCCACAGCAACGCGTGGCCGGGTACAGCTAGTTGCTTTATATGGGATACAGCAAAGAACACTACAGCTTTATGAGGTCAAAGATATAAAACAGCAGCTTTATAAAATGAGATATAGAACACTACTACAGCTTCATAATCTGAGCCACAGCATTGAAAAGTACAAAGAACGCCACAGCTTTATAATATTAAACCAAAGTGATAAAACAGCAGCTTTATAATATGTGAAACAGAATACTACTACAGCTTTATAATATAAGCCATAGCACAAAAATATTAGTTGTATCAAATAAGACAGCTTTATAATATGAGGCAGAACACTATAAGGAGAGTTCCACTCAAACCTGTTCATGCAGCACTGCACGCAACTGTGTGTACTGAACAATGATCATGTCATTGTCATGTGATAAGTACTGACCAACAAATAGAAGAGCATGTGCTTACTGTCCCATGAGGCAGAAAATTGCTGGGTTGATGCAAAATCCATCAAAGATGTTCAAAAAGCGGTGATTTCAGCTTTTTTATTTGAAAAATGTGGACATTTATAGAAAATTACAGGCAGCGTATAGTAAGAAATATGTGTTGAAGACAACAGTGACAGACTGGGTATGAATGCTTCAGAAAGGATGTTGAGTTCATGACAGATCTTCCATGACTTTGTCAAGCGCACACAGTTGCAACAGAGAGAAAAAAAAATGGTCAAAACTGATACAGCAATACAGGTGGACAGTTGTCAAGCATATGTTCACTAGCAACAGCATTTGAAGTGTCAATTGGGACAGTTCAAAAAGTTGTTCACAAGAAATTGCAATATCGGAAGGTATGTTCACAGCCTGTACTAAAGATGTTGACCGATCACCACAAAGAGGATGGTGTTTCAACCACTTATCGCATTACAGAGCAGAGGGTGAATGCATTTTTCTTTCACATAGTAGCAGGCAATAAATTATGGTGTCACCACTTTGAGCCGACCAGCAAAAGAAAAAGCATGTATGTAATGGAAGCATGCTGGATCACCAGAAGCCAAAAGAATTCATTTTACATTACAGGTTTCCACTAGTAAGGTTATGCTCAGAGCCCTTTTTTTTTCAAACACGAAGGGCTACTGTTGGCAGACTAATAAGAACCTAGTCATCCTCAGATCTAGCCATCACTTGCAAACACTCGACAAGGTTCATAAAACCATCAACAATGATTGTCCTAGCATGCTTTCTTGTGGTGTGATTTTGTTGCTCAACAATACTTGTTCACATGTTGCAAAGACAGCAGGAAGTGTTTGCACAGAAGAAGTGGAAAATTCTGCAACACTCAGCTTATAGTCCTGATTTGTCACCACGTGATTTTCATTTGTTCTGACCTCTAAAAAAAGCCCTCGAGGGGCAATGATTTTACACAGATGTAGACGTAATGAATGAGGTAAACAACGTGGTTCAGCGAGCAATCACAATCCATTATCGCTGACAAATAAGCCAGATGTGTAAAACGGATGTGCACGCAAAACTCAAGCTTTCAAACAAGACCAAAGTCCAGAAGTGGACAAACAACCATAACTTTCTGCCTGAGCATAGAGGCAGTGAGAGCTAAGAAGATATGGGAGATCACAGAATACCACAACTGTGTAAAGTGAGACAAAAACTAGAACACAGAGACTCACCTTCCACTTGTTCCAGCGCTCGGCAAACAGCGCACACAGATATATACAGAAAAAACTGCCCATCATCTGCAAGAGTATGACATAATACAGTCAACACAAGGACACTATCAACCAGGTAACTACCATTCTTCCTTCTTTCCTTCCATACTTCTTTCTTACCCTCCATACTTGTTCCTTTCACTAATACTTCTTTCTTTCATTCCCTTCTCTTTTTCTTCCATACTTCTTTCTTTCATTCTATACTTCTTTCCATCCTTCCTCTTATATTACCTTCTTCTTTAAATTTTCACTTTTATTTTTTTAAAGTAAAGAATCAGGCATGCAGGTCTGTCTAACATTCTGCTTACTTATTATTTTATACAGTCTTTTGCTAGGTTAATCCCCAAAACAACAACAGTGATAATGCATTTTAAATACACTAGAAAATGTACAAAAATCACACAGATAAACTGTACTAAGGCAGGATTATTTTAAGGACTATAGCTTTCATTGAGATCACCTTATTCATCTTGTTGTGACAATAAAGACACAGAAGGAGGAGGAGAAACAGAAAAATAAGAAGGAGGGAAAGAAGAATAAGAAGAAAACAGTTACACAGGTTAGAACATATCTTTTAAAGCAGGTTGGTTTTATAAAAAAAATTTAAGAAAACAGTTACACAGGTTAGAACATATCTTTTAAAGCAGGTTGGCTTTATAAATAAAAAAAAAATTAGAAAACAGAAATGTCAGAAAACCCTAGGTTGTCTAAAAGATAAAAAGGTTAGAAAATCCAATCTCGCTTAAAAGAGAGAAAAGGTTCATCTTGGTAAACATTCGACCTTCCAGCATTTTGGACAAGCCCTATCAGCTCCCTCTCCCATCTCAACAGCCAATGTTGTCATCTGGTTAACCTTGCCTTTCCTTCAAGTCTTGAATATCATCCACAGCCCGCAGGCACTCCTCACTGCATCATTCTCTCCAGGTATGGGTTTTCAATATCTTCCATTTGTTACCCCTTCCACAGGTGAGATCACCTTTGCTGTGTACAGCTGCATTACACCCCCAGGTGGAGCCAGTCCAGCAAAACTAATTGCCTGCTCCTTACCAAACACACCTACATGGGCCGGGTAGAATATCCATGTGACTTTCAGCATCTTTGACCTCTGGACTGATGTGACCTACTCCATATGAAGAAAACCTGACTCCAATTTTATGAGAACACTTTGCTTTGGCTGAGATTTTTTCCGCTCTTCGGAACGCTGCAGTTACCGCCTCAACCTCCATTCTCATGCTGGATGTGGTAATGTTGCATGCCAACCTCTCCTCCATCATCCTTCTTCCTCATGCTTTTGCGATGGATCCCCTTTCACTTTTCTACCCCTGGTCACTGACCGATCAGTTTATATGATCACATCTCCTGGCCTAGAGTTGTCCTCTATCAGCTGCTAAACCTCTGCATCTGCATGTCCCACCACATATTTCCTGGATTCCCAACCAAACATAATTATTACTTTGTAAAACCCTAACTCACTTAGAAGATAGAAGGTTAGAAAATCATAACCTGCTTAAAATATTAAAAAAAAAAAAGAAAGGTCAGAAAATCCTAGCTCACTTAAAAGGTAGAAAAAGGCAGAAATGATAGAAAATCCCAACTCTTGAGTAATTTGTGCGAACATATAAACGAAAACATTTATTTTTCATCTCCAGTTTCCAATTCACTACCCTCCCACCTTTAGAAAAAAAAAAGGAGTACAGAATGCAAGAGAGCGAGAGGGGCAGAGGAAGAGAAGGAGAGAGAGGGAGAGGAGATGCAGCATGCGGTGGACAGCATCAAGAAGACTGGAAGAAGCCTGTATGACAACATCATGAAGAAAGGACTGAAGGTAGGGAGAGAGAGGAAGCAACAACTGTAAAGACTGGAAGAAGCCTGTATGACAACATCATGAAGAAAGGACTGAAGGTGGGGGGGGAGAGAGGAAGCAACAACTGTAAAGACTGGAAGAAGCCTGTATGACAACATCATGAAGAAAGGACTGAAGGTAGGGAGAGAGAGGAAGCAACAACTGCAAAGACTGGAAGAAGCCTGTATGACAACACCATGAAGAAAGGACTGAAGGTAGGGAGAGAGAGGAAGCAACAACTGCAAAGACTGGAAGAAGCCTGTATGACAACATCATGAAGAAAGGACTGAAGGTAGGGAGAGAGAGGAAGCAACAACTGTAAAGACTGGAAGAAGCCTGTATGACAACACCATGAAGAAAGGACTGAAGGTAGGGAGAGAGAGGAAGCAACAACTGCAAAGACTGGAAGAAGCCTGTATGACAACATCATGAAGAAAGGACTGAAGGTAGGGAGAGAGAGGAAGCAACAACTGTAAAGACATTCATGTTCAATTAAAGTGATCCTTTACAAATCAGTCGGTGTCTGTGGCTTAGGCGTTGTGTATGCATTTTGTAATGCCGAGTTCAATCCCAGCTGCAGACAATTTGGCAACAGACCACACTGCGTTGGTTTCGACAGTGGTATCAAGAGCCGACTGTTCAACAAGCAGTGGCAAATTACTGAATGTAAATTTGCCTTTAAAAAACCAGCAAACTCCCCCCCCCCCCCCCCCCCCCCCCCCCCCCACCCATAAAGTGTTGGTTCTGTGAAGGATACACAACTTTGAAAAAAGAAAACATTACCATTTGTGAGCCCTGTGGCTTAGAGATTAGTGAATGCATTTCACACCTGCCAATGAATCAGGGTTTGATTTTAGCAAGTTTAATGTGGAAATGGCACTTTTGTTCTTACAAATCAAGCCAACCTATTCTGCAATCTTCAGACCTTACGCTTCAACAAAGAAGTTTAATTAACAAAAATAAAAACCATTCATGCTTTCTCCTCACTCTCACCACACATGCCCGCACGCATATACAGACACTATCAGTACTGGAACATCTACCTGTATGCACAGCCACGTGATAATGTTGATGGCAATTGTCTGGCGAAACATCTGCAGGCCAAATTTGATACATATAATGCTTTCTGTTAGCAAAATTGCACTGCAGAGGGAAAAAGAAACACAATTAACATGTAAAGCAGAAGTCGGCAACCTTGTTTGGTCCATGGGCCAAATAAATTTAGAATTACCACCCTGGCAGCGGCTCATACCAAAAAATAATCCATTTTAAACATAACACCCAGATTTTCTCGTAACACAATAGGTTTGTGGAATAATCTGGCAAGAGAAAAAGAACGGCCCTCGCCCGTAAATTTTTATCATCGATGTCCACTGACAAACGTGTCTCCTGATGTTCAAGTTTGTCCACATCATGTGTTTAGCAGGATCAAAGATTTAGTGACACCAGTTTCTGGTTACCACTGTTTAGGTTATCACTTTATCCGTGTTCGCGTTGATATTTTTTTTCAGCATATAAATGTAAGTTTTTGTGTTCTGCTATTTTGTTTTAAAGCTTAACGGCCAGATTATGCAGTAATTTTATAAAAGCCGTGAGGGCTAGCAAAAACTGCCCAGCTTTGGCCCGCGGGCCATAGTTTGTGCAACCTTGATTAAAAAAAAATTCACATGATGTGGTTTAAAAATATATTTTTAAAAAACAGTACACCACTAACTCACATGATAAATCAGAACTGAAAAACAACTTAAATCTTGATGGGGAAAAAAAAGGGAAAGGGAGGGTTTAACAGAAATAACTACACTAAGATTAAATATGAATGACTGCAGTTGAGTTGATGTCAAGCTACAAAAATCTGGTTGTATATTCATACAGCCTTTCCATTTTTCTCTATTTTCTCCAGGCTATATATACAGGAGTGTTGGGAAATGAACAGAGGCAGACTGGCTGGTTCTGCACCAATGGGTGGTGAATTTGTGAAAGACAAACTGGATGTGGTCAAGGCCCTTCGGAAGCAAGTGAACAATGTGCAGGCATGTTGGATGATGTTTGTGGGCGGTGCCTCTTTTCCTAATGAATACTTATTACTTGCGAGTCTATGTGGCTTAGGCGCTGTGAATGCACTTTGTTGTAATTCCAAAATACCCAGTGTGATTCAAATGCAGGTGATTTGGCTGCAGACTGCTTTGTGCTGACTTCAATAATGGTATGGAATACCAACCATTTAGACCGCAATGGCAAATTACAGAACATAAAACTGCTTAGTAAAATCACAAACAGCCTAGAAATGCTGGAGTTCATTAGGCAATGTACTGTAAAGGATACATAAATAACACTGAACTTGTCATTTAATACTGATGTGTAGGATGACCAAGCTTGCATTCCAAACAAGGATCTTTATCAATCTGATGTGTAGGATGACCAAGCTTGCATTCCAAACAAGGATCTTTATCAATCTGATGTGTAGGATGACCAAGCTTGCATTCTAAACAAAGATGTTTATCAATCTGATGTGTAGGATGACCAAGCTGGCATTCTAAACAAAGATGTTTATCAATCTGCTCAGAAGAACAGCAACAATGTGCACAGTTACAACCAAACACTTGTAGCCTGACATCACCTTGATTGCTGTCACTCCTATTTTTGTCAATAATCTTTAAGCACTCAAGGTTTTGATGATAACAGGAAAGTTGAAAGAGAAGAGAAGACCAAGAGATATCAGGGCATGGAGGGACATCTGTATTAAACTCCCAGCAGTACATATGACTGAAGAAGGGCTTTATGTTTAAAGCCATCAATTTGTTCACAGTTTCTGTAATAGACACTTTGTGTCGAGTATTTTTTAGGACTAATAGCTCTGAATAGAAACCTGTGGAAGGACATGATCATGAATAGAACTTGGCCCACACTGTAAAAAAGAGGTAAGCTATGGGTTTGTTTCTTTCCCTGGCCAGCATCTGACAGATTTTTTTAAAATGACATAGGAAATACTGCAAACACAAATAAAAGTACAGGGCTTGAAGAGTCAAAGTATAAACCAATAAACCAAAAAATTTATTAGGAATGATGAAACCAAGTTTAGCTTACCATCAAATAAATCAGTGATATTGTCAAGTAAACCAGTAAACTATCAAAACATAAATTAATAACTTTATAGCAAATAATTTATAAAATCAGACAAATAAACTATCAAGATATAAACCTACAAAATACCCACAAACAAATCTGTAAAAAAATAAAATAAACCTACAATATACCAACAAATAAATTATCAATAAATAAACCTACAATCTAACCTCAAATAAATTATCAACAAATAAATCTACAATATAGCCAGAAAAACCCATCAATAATGAAGCTTCAATGTAGCCACAAAAACCCATCAACAAACCTTCAACATAGCCACAAAACCCATAAAACCCATCAACAACAAAATCTATAATGTACTTACAAAAAAGCAATAATCTATTAAACAAAATAAATAAACTATCAACATTTCAACAAATAAATAAACACACTGGTCAACAACAAAACTGAAAACTTAACAAATTAGGCACAAAAACATATACAAACATATATATAGTGACAAATAACCTATCAGCAGATAGTGACAAACAGTTTATCAACATATAGTGACCTAAAGACTATCAACATGTAGCAGACAGTGACAAATAGACTATGAGCATATAGTAACAAATAACCTTACAGTATTTAAGCAAACAAATATACTAACCTATTAACAAGCCAAAAAGAAATTAAAAGAAATACTAAACTTAAAATTTTTATTTCTAATGTCAAATTGGAGAACAACTAAGGCAATTACTAATAAACTACACACATTCATTTACTGGTGATGGGCAGAATAGAGGGAATTAAACGGTATGATATAATCAATTATGTAGAGCTTTGGGAAAGAACTAAGCAAGCTCCAGTGGACCTAGAAAAGACACTGGCGCTGGATAGGGCACACATTGAGAAAACCGGAGAATACAACTAGAATGACTTTGCACTGGAACCCACAGTGGCATAGGAATGAAGAAGAAAAAAAACATGGAGAAGGGAGCTGGAGAATGAAGTTAGAAAGATGAGGGAGGACATGGAGAGAGCTACATGTGATTGCAAAAGATTGAACGACTTGGTGTGAGTTGGCTGATGGCCTATGCTTCATTGGGGGCTAGAAAGGCAGAAGAAGAAGATTTAACAACCAACCAAGTCACCAACCTATCAACATACAAACAAACAAACAAACACTAAAACAAATCTTCAACACACCAACAAGCAAATAAACACTCAAATCAATCTCCACACTATCATCTAGCCAGTTAACAAAAAATCCACGTTACGTCCAGACAGAAGTATAGCTTACCAAAACACCCACAGCTGAGTGCCCACCCGCTTGCACCTGGTATCTGTGACATACACATAGTACTGTCTGTGGACAGAAACAGAAATAGTGATGCTTCTTCAGGCAATTTATTACGTAATTCTTTCTGTACTTCAATTTTTCCTGAACCCTTTCACAACCACACATAAAAGTAAAGTAAAGGATCCCTTTCTGTGCCTTCAGACGTATTAGGCATATAGGGCTAGACCTATATTTTATAGACCAATCAGCTATGGTCAACATGTGGTCAACATCAGGCAGGTCACCTTTACTTCCCTCAAGGCCGGGTCGACATGGCAGCCAAGGTCATTTTGGGAAAAAAAGTCAGGCATCATCAGGGCCTTAAACCAAGATCTTCTTGAGAAATATTATTTCTCAATTCTTTTTGTACTTCAAATTTATCTCACCCCTTTCACAACCACAGGACATATGTGTCCCATGAAATTCTACAATTGATTTTTTTTTTCATGTAACGATGTTTAAATTTTGAAAAAAATAAGTAAAAAATGTCCTAATAAAATCATATTAAGGCAGGGTATAGTACCATATGTACAATCGTATCGTATCGTATCGTATGAAAAGAAACAAAAATTCCAAACTTGGTCCTTTTTTAACTGCCTGATGGCCTGTTTTCTCAAGGACGAGTCATTTGCTATCTGAGCTGGATTTTTTACTTTTGTGGCGATGGTTTTCGCCTGAGTTTTCTTGCATTTGTTGCGTTCTTGTTAGCAGCGTGGGCTTGGCGGGCGGCTTGCAGGTTTAGGGAGTGGACATGGCTGTCCTGAGAAGGACAGCCACATGTGCCGGGTGGCCTGGAACGGGATGGGTGGGAGTGGTCATTCTGGTTGACTGGGCTTTGTCGCGTCAGTGAGGTTGGCTGGTTCTACGGAGACTGGGTGTCATAGCGGCTTGGAGGTTTTCCATTGGCTGTTGGCTTCGTCTTGTTTTGGTGGCTTGTCAGTACTTGCGGTTGCGTCGGTTTGGTGTACCCTGACACCTTTGCTTCCATCTTGCATGGGCCAGCTGTTTTCGGGCTGCTTCTATCTGTTCCTGGTGTGCGTGGATTTTATTAAAGAAGGCTTGCGCTTCCTCTTCGGGCAGCAGGTAAATTTTAGCCAGCGCTGGTTGGTCATACACGATATCGTAGCGTTTTCTACTATCGAGCTCGATCCTGTGTGGGTGGTTCAGTTTGTTAAAGCCTTCTATCTTTTTTAGGAGGTCGGCCTCGCTTTCCACCTCGCCGGCTGCCGCCTCTTTGCCTCCTTCAACAATAGTGGCCTTATCTGCGGTTGGGGTCGCCTCTTTAGCTTCGGACACGGCTACTTCATCTGGCTTGGCAGTGCCTTCCTCTTCGGTTTCTGTTTCTGTACTTTTGTCAGCCCTGCAGATGTTTGCTTTTGCGGCTGGCGCCTTGTTTTTCTCTGCTAGTAAGAGTTCTCGTTCTTGTTTTGATTCTCGAGTAGCTGCTTCTGCTTCTGCTGTTGTTTTTACTAGCTGGGCGACTTCTCTGTACGCGGACTCTCTGGCTTCGTTAAGTAAGGCCGTCTCTGCCTTTCTTTCTTCTCTTTCGGCTAGTCGGTAGGTTGCTGCCTGGTCTTGTTCTGTCTTTAGCTGTGTCAGGAGGCCTTGTAGTTGTTTGTTTGCTTCAGTTACTTCTGCTAGCAGTTTGGTGTGGTGCGCAGCTTCTGCTATTCTGTCTCTCTTCTGGGCTTTGACTTCATCTAGTGTTTGGGAGATTAATCCCAGCATCTCAAGTCTTTCAGCGGTGGCCTTCTCTTTGTCTGCTGTCAGCTTCTGGACTGCGATTTTGAGTGCTCTCACTTCCTGGATTGTCGCGTTGTTGTTTCCGACTGGGATCACCTTCTCTGGTCTTCTCTCACTATTTGGTGTGGCTGCTTGCTGCTTGCACCTTTTTAGGTAAGTACATCCCAGGTATCTGGCGCTGTGGGGCCCTCCACAGTTTGAGCATCGTCTGCTACTATTGGGTTTTTTAAAGTCAGGGTCCAACTTGGCTAGTGGGCACTCCTTGAAATCGTGCGGCTTGGAGCAGTAGCGGCATGCTGGGCTGCTGCGGCAGGTTGCAGCTGTGTGCCACGCCTTGTTACAGCGTGAGCACTGGATGATGTTGTCACTGCTGTGGGCTCCTGGCTGCTGGCTTCGTAGGCGGGTACTGGTAGGTTCCTGCGCCACGACTGGGGCGGCTTCTGGTGTTGGCGCCACGATGGGGGCGGCTTCAGTTGTTGGCGTAGGTGTGCGAGGCGCCGCGATAGGGGCGCCTGCCGGTGAAGCTGCTGGTACGGCTCTCCTCTTCCTTGGTGTAGGAGCGGCTGCTTGTTGTTTTCCCATGATAGAGAAATCAACGATGGCAATTGCGGTCTGTGGCGAAAGCTAGGTCCCTTCGGAGTCGGCAAGGCTTGTTAGAGTATCCTAAAAAGGACACCCAAGCGTGCTTTTTCCTTAGTTCTCTAGCAATCGTTTAAAATACTGGCTGGTATGACTGGCTCTCAAACAATGCTGTGCTCCCGCATATGTACAAAGCCTAAATGCTCTTTATAACTGCAGCAATCTATCCAGTTGTGTAAGGGTTAACACATGAAATTGTAATCTGCCAATGTTTGATTATTTATAGGAACAATATTATAGATTCTCTACTGAAACAAGACAAAAGATAATTATCTACTGAAACAAGGTTAACAGATTATATACTGAAACAAGATAATAATTTATCCACTGAAACAAGATAACTGTTTATCTACTGAAACAATAATAGAAAAAGAAGAAGAAAAAGAAGAAGAAAAAGAAGAAGAAGAAGAAGAAGACAATGATGACCAAGACAAGGAAGAGGAGAAAGAAGAAGAAGAAATAAAGACCTAACACTTCACAACTCTACAGCTGTATCTGCTACAGGACTACTTTTACCTCAACGCAAAGAGTTAAAGATATAGTCTTTGATCATGAACCTCGCTCACGAATTTCTCATAAGCACTGACTATGAATCATGTAAAGGAAGCCACAGTAACACACAGATGCAACCTTTACCTGCCAAACCGAAGATCTTGGGAATGAATCTGCTCTGAGGCAGATTTTTATGTTTGACCTGGGCTCCCAAATTCACCCAATCTAAAATGGACACCAAGAAATGTCACTAGGAGTAAAGAAGTGAAGACAGCCAACATTATGACATCCTTAGGGCTGACCCTGCCACCAGCACAATTTGTTTCTGAACTTCTTCTAGTGGAATACAGACGTGACCGTAACGACATTCTAAAGAGTCAGTTACGTCCTGCGTCTGAGTCCCACTACAGCATGGTCTCTTGCAACAGGCGTATCCGCAGGACCTGCCAATATGTGGTTCAGGGAACAAGTCTGAAATTCCTGAATGCTACCTTCCATATACGTGAAGCATTCTATTGCATGAGCCGTAATGTAATTTACGCCATCAAATGCAAGAGATGTGGCATGAAATACATCAGTGAAACGGGTCTACAAATGGCTGACAGGTTCAGACATCTTTTGGATGAGCAGAATGGTTCCCTGAAACCAGTAACGTTGCACTTCAATTCCCAGGATCACCAAGGCGTCCAGGACAAGGAGGTGGCAGCCATTAAATCTAGCCACTCCAGTGACGGTCCGCCAGTCTCTTGAAAACCGTTTTATTTTCACTCTGAGCATGCTTATGCCCAGGGGAATGAACCGTCAACACAGTTTCATCTAAAATTATGAAGTTACGGCCATGGCTTTCCACGGCTTTTTAGTCTCAGGCCCCATGTTTTCTTCTCATTCCACTGGCTGCTTCTAGATACTCAAGTAATTTTTGTATATTCGTGTGGTTTTGTTTGATTTTATGTATGTGCTGATGAAGGCTCTATAGCTGCAGTCTTCATATTTTGTTTGTTTGTCATATTGTGAAGCTTACTGATCTACTTTTCCTTCTGTTTTTTTATCTTTCCATGATGATGAGCCCATCGCCTACCATGTGCAAACTAGTCTGTTTGAAAAAATATAGTTCACAGGTCACCCGCCGGATTAGCCATTGGCATGGGTAGGGTCCCTTATTTTTTCCATGTATTAGGAATTTGATGAAATATGAATCCTTTAACTGAATATATGAATCCCGTAATTGTTGAATCCTGTAAATTATGAACCATGTAAATTGCAAACCCTGTAAACTATGAATCCTGTAAACTGTGAATGCTGTAAGAGTTAAAACAAGAGACTCGACTAATAGGTGGCATCCTTACAGAGGGTTACAAAGATGGATGAATTACATAAAATTTGGTGTGGAAATGTATGACTTACCTTACAGCTGGTACGCAAATGGGTGCCTTACCTTACAGTGGGTGCATAGATGGATCACTTACCTTACAGTACATGCAGTGATGGGTGACTTACCCTACAGTGGGTGCAGAGACTGGTGACTTACCAAACAGTGCATGCAGTGATGGGTGACTTACCCTATAGTGGGTGCAGAAATAAGTGACTTACCCTATAGTGGGTGCAGAAATAAGTGTCTTACCCTATAGTGGGTGCAGAGATGGGTGACTTACATAAAAGAGGATGTAGAGATGGGTGACTTACCCTAAAGTGAGTGCAGAGATGGGTGACTTACCCTAAAGTGAGTGCAGAGATTAATGACTTACCTAATAGTGGGTGCAGAGATGAGGCATATCAGAAGAAGCCGGATCAAGTTTAGCATGTGGGATGGTGGAATGAAGAAGATGTGTTTGATGAAAAAAGTATTCAGCTCAATCAGCTGCCATGCTACAATCAGAATCCACACAGCGATGATCCTCATGGTGGTGGAGTTTGGATCCATCCAGCGCACATACACCCAACTGTGGAAGAGACAGACTGATCATGAGGTCCAGCTTATGGGAAGACTCAGCTCGGTAACCCTATCTTCCTTAACTCTTAGAGTCCCAGGTGTTTAGCATCAGAGGCCCAAGGGGTAGTCAAGAGAGACGTAAAATCTGCGCATCTTGCGTTCATTAGGCCTCTAAGTAGGAACTTATGAGCGTATGATGCGTTCCTTGGGACTCAAAGAGTTAAATATCTACCTGCATGGATCAGGAAGCCTTAAATTTTACCTAATATTTTAATCAGCCATGTGCACTGGCACCTGATACAACAGATCACATCCTCCAAGACTGTCCCAAATACAACCTATCAAGGACAAACTTCTGGCCAAGATAAATACAGGTGGAAGCCAAACTTCATGTGTCACTGAGTAAATTAAAAAAGACAACGAAGTTCATATTAAAGACAACATTACAGATAATCTATTTCAAACACATAGGAGGAGGAGGAGGAGAAGAACTGTAATACTCTATAATGGAGAATCTGTTGACCGAGTTAGCATCCCCTGAGGATCAAGTGATAAAAGAAGGACACTCGTCTATAAACCTGACAATCCATGGTGAAATTTGTGGTATGGACTATAAAGTTTCAACATTGAAAACAATGGTTCAGGCAGGTCCGGTGTGAGGCAGTGGCTTGAGTCATTACAGAAGCCCATAGTGCGTGCAGTCACCTTTATTTTCGTTCCGGGACACGTGGGTGTCAAATGGAAATGAAAGAGCTGATAAGTTCCACTATCACTTCCGATGGTCAACCTATGGGTAATGCTGATATTATTAATGCCCTCCAAGAAATGGGAAGGGTGTAGGACTTTGGGGGTAGTGAATCCACATCACTTGCCAGAATTACAGACTTGGTAGTTAATATCGACATAGCAAAAAACGAGAGGCACACAATGCACATCAGAGAACTGGTACTATTAGCCACTGGACACTGGGCTTCATATCGAGGGGAGGATCTGAGCACCTATGGACATGTTCGAAGTGCAATGATGATAACCCAACTAGCTAACTAACTAACTAGCTAACTAACTAGATAGCTAGCTAGTTAACTAGCCAGCTAGCTAACTAACTAGCTAGCTAGCTAGATAACTAACTAACTAACTAACTATGCCTGCACATTTAGAATTTTGATAATGACGGCAGAAATAACATACAGCACAATTTACAGCTTGGCATATTTCGCTGTATCTCATTAAGTGCATTACTACAGAGTTTACATCAACATATAGTGAAGCCTAAAAGATGAATCCTATTAACTAGAAAATACAAATCAAATAGTCTCTTGTTAGACTGTGCTACATCTTACCAGGGAAGTCTAAGATTAACCATGTGATTCGTTTGTTTACATAGCATGAGACACACATAATATAAAATATTTTAAAAAGAAACAAATGGTATACTTCATTTAATTCCCCTAATCATGAGATAGTTGACAAGATGTCATCAAGTCTTCTTGAATTTTTGGGGGTTTTTTGTTTTGTGTTTTTAAATATCCAGAAACCATGAATTGTTAACCCTTTGGCTCGGTACTATGGATATCGCAACCCTTCGGCCTTGATTCCATGATAGGTACGATGTTTGTTTGTTTGTTGTTTGTTTTAGTATCTAGAAGCCATGAGTTGTTAACCCTTAGGCTCGGTATTAAGGATATTGCAACCTTTCGGCCTTGATTCCATTGTAAATACCGTAAATCTGGGAGAAAATGTGGCTTTCCTGCCTACCCCCGGGAGTGTACCCGGACCACAAGGAGTTTGTCACCTGGTCACCACGAAGTCAGGTTTAACCAACTACGCTATAGAGCCGGGCAGTCTTCTTGAATAAGACTGATAAGGTAGGAGGACCATTGAGGATTGTTGAAAAACAATTTAAAAAATATTATACTGCCCAGAATAAATTTCAAAAGGAGAAAACCAACCCATAAAAAAGTCTAATTACAGCCTGTGATTCAGATGTTGTGAACCTTATCTGAGTTTGTGCACACTACTGAAAGTCTCACTGTATGCTCTGTGGTGGGAGACTGGGGCACCTATGGTGGTGTCTGCATAAAACAAAAGTAAACAGTAAAATACCATTTCCCATACCTTCAGGCATGTTAGGAATGTACTGCTTAACCTATATTCTACAGACCAATCAGCACTTGGCGGGTGATGGTCAGCATGCACTTGGCGGGTGATGGTCAGCATGCACTTGGCGGGTGATGGTCAGCATCATGCTGGCCACCTTTACTTCTCAGGGTTTTACCTGGTACCCATTTAAGGCGGAGCATATCTTGCAGCCAAGGTATTTTTGGGGAGGGGGGGGGGGGGAATGCAGATTTGAACCCATGACCCGTGGATCTACAGGTGAGCATCTAGCTGCTACAACATGGCGGCTGCCCAAAAATAACAGTTATCAAATGCAAAATTAACTCATCACATCTTAAGGTAGGTCATGATAACTAATACTTCTTCTGATAGTCCATGTTTTGTGTCTTGGTAATCATGTCTGTCCACAGCCTTCTGTCTTGTGTACTGTCAATCATCGGATATGGATTTGTTTTTTCATGATGTGATGCCAAAGTGTTGAACATATTCTTCCTTGGTCTTCCTCTGCATCTCTACCCCTTTATCTTTTTTTCCTTTCTTTTTGTTTTTTGCTACTAGATTAAACTCCAGTGTTTTTTCCCCTCAAAACATCATGTAAGAATAGGACATTTCTTGTAGTGTGATTAACATTAACAAGCTTCTCTGTGAGTTAATTTCTTTCAAGACATTTTCAGTATCGTTTTCACCTGATCATGGCATTGTCATATTACTTCCATAAAACAACATCTCTGCCAGCTTCCCATCACTGTTCACTAACTGGATACTTTTACAAACCACACGCACACGTCCACACACACAATATTTACTTGACTGGGGTGAACTGCAGCACTGCTCTGCGAAGCTTCCCTGTCGTAGAATGGATATCTCTGAAAACAAACACCACAAAAAGCAGGTAACAACAAGTGAAGTGAGGGAACTTGTCACTATAAACATCCAATAACTGTTATCTACATGTAGCCAACAAAGAGTCGACATGCTAACACTACCAATTCAACCTCATTAAAAGTCCGCCTATGTTTTCCCCTCAGTGTCAAATATCTTCCAGAATACCTGCTCACCTTTCAAGGTATTGATATTCTGTCTGTTCTGCTGCACAATCAACTTGATCCCAGGGAACCTTCACCACGCCTGCTTTATCATAAAGTAGTTCACAGCTCCGAGGAGCGACAGCAGCCAGTCTGTCAGCTAACACACATGCATGTTTCCCTCTTAGGGTTGAATATCGTCTAGAATCTTTGTTCACCCCTCACAGAATTTGTCTTTCAAGGTATGGATACTCTGTTCTGTTGCACTATCCACTTGATTCCAGAGAGCTTTCACCATGTCTTATTTACCATCAAGTAGCTCACTGCCCAGAGGAGCGGCATCAGCCAAGCTTGAATCATTTTCAAAACACCACAGGACACTTTAAGCTCTACAGCCTATTGTGGGCTGAAACAAGCTCCCAAAAAATCTATTAGAAATGAACTCTTGTGGTAGAAAGAGAGGCTAACATTAAGGTAGACAACCATAACAAATGCCCCACAGCAGACAACAGAGGGTAGAATCACATGGGATACATCAGTTCTGTTTAGAACCACACAGGGCACGTACTGCACTAGTGAAAACATTCACCAATGAGAGCAGTAAATTATATGCAATTAGTCTGTCACAAAGAGCAGTGTGAAACACAGTCAAGTGAAGTTCCCACAATAATCCTTTATGCTATAAAATTAGCTCTTCAGGGCAAGATATACATAGCTGTCGCACTGTACTTTCATTGTGCGGAGGGTATAGATCAGTGTTCTTCAACTGGTGGGCCGAGGAAACTGTCCTGGTGGGCCTCCAACACTTTATGCTTAATCATGTAACGGGGTGGAATATGTAGTTTTTCTCTTCCAGGGTGGCAGGTATGTAGGATTAACACCTCAAGGATGAGAATCAAACAGAAGCAAGTGAGAATCATCATAACAAGTCAGCATTTAAAGACGTTAGCTGAAAACTCTGAATATCATGAAAACGAGAAGCTGATCGAGTTGTTATTGCAGAGCTTCATCTATCAGAGTTAACGGCCCAACCATTTGTATCAGATTTTGTAGCAAATAAATTATCAGCTACATTACAGATTAGCTGTAAAATATGAGAGGAAACAATTTTCCCTGTTTTTTGGTGGGTGTAAAAAGGTTTGGAAACATTGGTACAGATAGCTGTTATGTGACAGGATATTCCCAACAAGTTATGATAGTATATAAATGTGGTCTTGTATCATGTGTTTGTATCATATAAGTCATCCCATTTCTTGGGGTGCCATTTTTTGTTATTTTGAAGCCCCACCCTGGGTGTTGCCGGGAGCCCTAATAAAACCTAATGGTTAAATGGGGTTTCTGGGATCTCATACATATGGTGGCACTGTGTGTCACCGGGTGTTTATCGCTCTGGGTGATGTCCTGGTGGGGTAAAATTTACTTACTACTACTTAAGTGTGTGTGTGCGAGCGAGAGTGGAAAGGGTCTCAGAGTGGCCCTATTCCCAGTCATCGGAAGCTCAGGACTCGACCTTCAGCTAGAATACATGTGGCCATGCCTACACATGATCCCCCCACCAGTGACAGTGACTTGCTGACTGGAAGTCAGTCCTTTGAAAGACCATAAGATATAATCACTAGGGCTGTACCGAATAGTGATTTTCACTATTCGGCCGAATACGAATATTGGGACCAACTATTCGGCCGAATACGAATAGTGTATCATAATCATCATCATCAGGTGCCTTGCCGACTGCGTGGGCGATCATGCCTCTCCACAATCTGCTATCTCCTGCAGCATGTATCAGTTCGTGTGCTGACACACCTCCATGCCATGCAACAAGACTGTCAAGAATCTTCTATCGTTGTCTTCCTCTATCCCTCCTTCCACAGATCTTTCCAGTGGTCACCAAATGTTCCATTTTCCCTCTTCTCATAACATGGCTGAAAAATGACGACTGACTCCTTCTGATGTCTGTGATCCTTCTGATGTCTTCCGGCTTCCGCCTCTTTCAAAACCATCTTTCACTCGACCGTTCGTTCCATGTAATTTAAACGCACCTTCACATTCTCGTTAGCAAAACCTTCAAATTTGATTTGAGCGAAGACACCCTGAAAGAACGAAAAATGCATGATCTTTCTCTCTCTCTCTCACACACACACAAACTGCGGTTAGCATTTTATGCAGTTTGTACCACGCAACTGTGTCGCAGTTCCCCCCACCCCCTACGACAGACTTAGGCAACAGCTACTATTGTGTTAATGAGAGGGTTCAGTCCATTGCAGTGTTTGCAGAAACGGGAGTAAGGTAACCACTATTCGTATTCGGCCGAATACCGAATAGTTATTAGGTCCACTTTTCGGGCCCGAAGCGAATACGAGACAAAGCGAACATTCGGCACAGCCCTAGAAATCACAATCAAGCTAGTCTGTAAGACACTTGATGAATAATATCAGGGGGGGGGGGGGGAAGACAATCGATGAAGAAACTCAAATGGAATTAATTCGTATAAACAAGATAGCCATCATGTCCCACTTACAACCCCACCCCCCACCCCACCGTGACTGTGCAGTCCAAATATCTTGCCATGGAAAACGAACTATAGGGTGAATTTTGCAACAACAAGGGTGGAAGAGAGAGAGAGAGAGAGAGAGAGAGAGAGAGAGAGAGAGAGAGAGAGAGAGAGAGAGAGAGAGAGAGAGAGAGAGAGAGAGAGAGAGAGAGAGAGAGGACAATGATGAGAAGTGTAGAAAGCACTAGAATAGAGGAACCGTGTCCCTGGGAGATGAAGGGCAGTCAGGCAGAAAGTGTCTGGCGTACAACATCCCGTATCTACCGCCTGGAAGCTGATTACACGGCTGGGCGGGGAGGGTTACGTTAATAATCGATGGCGCTTACCAAAGTGGCGGGAAGGCACTTCGCCAAATGTGAAGTGCAGTTGGGTTATGGATGTCACAGGAAGGTCAGGACTCCGGGACTGGGGGAAGGGGGTGGGCAGTGTTTAAGAGTTGACTAGAAACACGACAAGGAGTGGACAGAAAGATAAATAATGGAAGAGAATGTGCCAGAATGTGAATTATTTAAAGACAGATAACTAAAGAGAAAGGATAACAAAAATTGCGAGTTATAGACAGAGATACAGACAGAGATACAGACAGACAGACAGACGGTCAGACAGACAGACAGACAGACAGACAGACAGATAGATAGATAGATAGATAGATAGATAGATAGACAGACAGACAGACAGACAGACAGACAGACAGACAGACAGACAGACAGACAGACAGATAGATAGATAGATAGATAGATAGATAGATAGATAGATAGATAGATAGATAGATAGATAGATAGATAGATAGATAGATAGATAGATAGATAGATAGATAGATAGAACGTTATTTTCGGGGGTGGGCAGACCGGCGTCCAGCCACAGATCCAGCGCTGCGGCCCCCGAAAACACAAACAGCCTTGCGTAAAAGTTTCACGTTTGTTCGGGTAGTTATTATCTCCCCATTACGTTCCCAGACAATGACTATCTGAAGAAATATTCGATCGTCTCTATGCCTGTCTGTAGTTTGCCGGGACATCTAAAAGCAAGTGTAAGCTCTGAACCCAAGACCCCCGGGTCAGTAGATAGCCGTCTAGCCCTGGGTTCCTCATCATTTTGACACAGGGGGCCCACCAAAAACAGGGTAAATTGTTTCGCGGCCCACCTGTTAGCTAAGAAAATCCTAAACAAATTAAAATAGCTGTTTACATTTATTTAATTCGATGTCCCTAAATTAAAGTTTGCAGATAATTGCTGCTGCTTAGAGCTTAAACAATCTGATGTGTGTGGCTGGAGCGTTGTTTCAGATATACGAAGCGCTACAATAATATCCATACAATTTCTCTGTTTGTGTTTTAATACTGACAAACATGAGAACGTCTTTTCGCACAAACAGGAAGTCCTTGACTGTCATTCTTTCTGAAGTCCACGCTGTGTGGTGTCGGTAGTCATGTATATCCACAACCTTCTGTCTCGTGTACTTTCAATCAACTTTGATACAGATGATCACCCATGCCATGAAGTCAGTCAAACTGTCAGCATATGTTCTCTCGGTCTCCCTTTGCATCTCCTCCCCTCCAACTTTTCTGCTGTCTGGAAAAAAAACCCCACATACCCTACCTCGAAACATGATTAATGCTGAATATTTCTGGCTGCCCACCTGGACTTTTCCGCAAACCACCGGTTGGCCGCAGCCTATAGATTTAAGACCACTGGTCTTAAGAATAGAGGTAAAGGTGGTCACTGAAGCTTTCAGTTGGTTAGAGAACACGACACATACATACACACATATATCGTGATTGCAACTGACTCAGAAAGCATGCTGAGGAAGATCAGGACAGGAATGCTTCGTGAAGAGTGGCATGCTTCACTTCGGAGGACACGGGTGAGGAGTGTTGTCTGGATTTTGTTCTCCGGGACGCCGGTATGTTGGGAAATGAACAGGCGGACAGACAGGCTGGCTCTGCACAACTTGGTGGAATACTGATGCATACGTGGTTAGTGCCTTGTGGGAGAGCGTGTACAGTTCGGAGGAGCAGATGGATCACCACAGTCTGGTGAGACTGATGCAACGGGGAATGACAAGGGGTTGTGGCAGATGCTCAAGGCTCAGAGGAAAGGCAATACGGATGTTTAATCAGAATGCTACTGGCATCATTAGAATCAGAACTCTGCACTGGCTGCTGAAGATGGGAACGGAGCGCTTATGGGGATACCCCGAGTGCTGTGATGTCGGTTCTTGAATCAACTCAGAACATTGGTCTAGCTGGTACAATGCCGCAGCTCCCGACAATCGAACGATCCCCTTTCT